TCAGAGTTTTCTTTTTTATAGAAATTTATATTTCTAATAAAATAATATATATTTATTACATTTTTAAATGGCATTTATTAAAAAAATCCTTATTTAATCGGTTAACTTGTGGTTCCTTTGCTGCTTTCTCGTTTTTCTGTTGCACCACTCCGTCCGTTCCATTTTAAGGCTTGTTTGTGGAGTGCTTTACATAATAAGTTTTTGAGTAATGATCAGGTGGACGAAATTGGGGGACGACAAGTAAGTAGGGTGAAATTGATAATTTTGTATCTTGCAATTTTCATTTGTCGTCTCTCAATTTCGTCCTCCAATTTCATCCCCCTGATTATTATTCTAAGTTTTTAGATTGTACCGTATCTATAAAAATCAATTTAATATAAATAATTAATTATAAAAATTTAATATATTTTAAATAATTTTAATCAATATTTTATATATTTTTATCATAACAAATTTTAAAAATACTGTCACAACCTAACACTCTTAAACAAAACTTTACTTTATGTTTGGATTGAAAGAAATGCAAGAGAGAAAAAATTTTCCCCACCATTCTCCTTCATTCCTTTCCCTTGCTTTTCCTAATTTGGAGAAATAACTAAATTAAAGAAAAAAATAAAATGAATGAAAAATTTCCCCTCCCCTTCCCTTCTCTCTATTCCTCTCAATTCAAACATACTAATTGTTTCACTTTGTAACTTTGCACATATTTAGACAATTTAAGGGTTAGTTAAAGCTTCATAATTGGTGTTAAAATGACACATTTATTTTTAATGAGTTTTATCATCTTTATAAATATTTCCTCTATCCAAAAATAACTGTTGTTATTTGATTTTGAATTTATCCTAAATTAATTGTTATTTTTTCATTTTTTAGGATAGACAAATATTTTTTTCTACTTTAATCTTATCATTATCTATTTATTTTGATGAATTATCCTATCACAATAACCTTACTTTATTTTTTATTTTTTTTTTCTAAGGATAATATAAATAAATATATAAATTATTTCTAAATTTTTAATTTAAAAAATAAAAAAATAATAGTTATTTTGGGACAAAAGAATTAGACTAGAATAATAGAGATAAAATTGAAATTATAGTATTTAATATCTCTTATAAATAAAAAATGAGAAAAGTAAATTAAAACACAAAGTAAACTGGAACTAAGGGAATAGTATTTTTTTTATAAATTAAATTAATGGAAATAAAAAAACTGGAACATAATTTTTTTATTTACTAGGCTTTAAAAGTGCACTATATACTGTTTACTTGTATGGCACATTTTTAATAATTCTTAACTACAATAATATTGATTAATAATTGAAATGAATTTTAAATTAATAAATACAAAAGTTATTTATGATACATATTAATTTATTATAAACATACATCTGATTTTCCTATCAATTAAATTATTTTGAGATACATATGATAAAGCAATTCATCAAATCTTGATTAATTTTTTTTATCTTTGCATCTTTAATAATAATTATTATATTTTATTGCAATTTATCTCCTCTCTCCTGAGGACCCGTATTAAAAGGTCTTATACCAAAACATAAAATATATAATTCATTAGCATTATACTTTCAGTTTTTTTTTTTTTCATTTACCTACACTTCATATTGCATTAATTTTTCTTACATTATCTCCTAATTTACACATATTTTATCATTGTAATTATCTATATATCTATATTCATCATCACTCTCTCTATATTAGTAATTTGTTTATTATTATTCTTTCACATTTTATTCTCTCACTATATTATTATTTTCTAGTCATCACTCCCTAAATCACCATTTATTATTCTTTTCCCCTTATCATCACTTTCTATTGTTATTTTCATCTTTCCTTACATCTCTAG